CACAGATTGGCTCCACAGAGAAAACATTTTGGGCAAAAGATGTTTTACGAAATGGAACTTTACAGTCTCTACATGTACCAGCTCTTGTTGATCTGGAGGGTTCCAGCCTGTTCACAAATTTACAAAGTGGCTCAGGTGCAAATCCAGTCAAACATTTAAAAAAACAACTTTATATGTCTAAGATTAACAAAATTAACAAAGTTTAAGATTTTATGTTTACTTAAAATGTAACAGTGATGGAATCGAATGGGCTTTTTATCTAAAATCTTTAGGGCATGGTTATAAAGCCTCTTTATAGGCTTTAGGGTAGTTTGGCTGGTCTGGGACCAAACAGTGGTGCAGTACGACAGGTGGGACAGGATCATAGTGTTCAGAAAGACATGAGCACATTCAGATGTCAAACAGCTCCTGATCATTCTGAAACAATTCATACCGGCCTTCATTTTTCTTGATGTTTTTGATATGACTTTTAAAGTTTAGCTGGGAATCTAAAATCACTCAAATATTTTTCTTGTTCTACCCGATCGATGAGTTCGCCATTCATTTTGATGTTAAGGTCATTTATTGTCCCGAGTTCTTTTTTATAGAAAAACGCATAGATTTAGTTTTCTTCAGATTAAGTGTTAAACAGGATTTGTTATCACTGTTAAACACTTTCTCAAGATGTTTGGTCAGTGTACCGCCGTTAACAGCAGTGCTTTTGCCGGACACATAAATCACAGTGTCGTCGGCATATATCAGAAGGCAAACTTAAGGACACACTTCAGGCTGCTCGTTCACATACAGGCTGAAGAGAATAGGCCCCAGTATGGTTCCCTGAGGGATTCCGGTCTTAATTTTACATGGGGCACAGATTTAACATGATCAATAACTACACATTGTTCTCATCCCTGTAAGTATGACTCGAACCATGATAATGCCTGGTGTGACCTGTTAAAGGATGACAGTTTTGAGATAAGACGGCTTTGGTTTACTGTATCGAATGCCCTCTTTAAGTCCAGGAACACTGGACCCACGATGTTTCCTTTATCAAGCGGCTGCACAATATTTTCCAATAATGCGCAGATGGCTGATTCAGTGGACTGGTTCTGTCTGAAACCATACTGTTGAGGGTGTATATACTGATGTGTTTCTAAATATTGAGTTAGCTGTTCTGGAACTATTTTTTCTAGTATTTTTTACATTACCGGAACGAGACTTATTGGTCGATACTTACTGATGTCTGTGGTATTCCCTTAAAGATGGGTTTAACCAGTGCCTTTTTCCAAGCATCTGGAAATATTCCAGTTTTAATAGAGACATTTATAATGTGGGTCAAAGGTTGGATGATAATTTGAGCATATTTTTAGTTTGTTTCCACATTGCTTTACAAGTTCCTTTAGCTTAAGTTAGAATTTTCATATAAACGTTTGCTTTTGAGTTGCACAATTCTTCTACTACTTGATTAATTAGCTGTCGTACTGCATCACTTACCCATGGAAGCTATACTTTTCTTTGTGGCCTTTTGCATTGTTTTAAGAACTTATTTAAAATGTTAATTATTGTAGAAGTAAATATATCGCAACACTCGCTCACTTGACTATGTTGTGAGACTTCATCCCAATTAGTCTTTGCTAACTCATTCTCAAATTTAATAAGATCCTTGCTGGGAATTATCAACTTTGTTGCCTTTTGGTCATTTTTATATTCATTTAGACGCTTTTGTGAGAGTTTTCTGAAAATTAATATCATGTTATGATCTAATAAGCCACACACCAGACTGTATGTTTTTAAGACTCTTTCAGGCTTATTTGAGAACGCTAAATCTATTGCTGTCTGTGATGTTTTTGTCAGGTCTATTTTTAAATTGATGAAAGTCATATTTTGATGTTAGTTCTTTGAGTTGTTTCCTACTGGATTTCAGTGTTTCCCACAGAAAGACAGTATAACTGTGGCGGGCTGAGCGGGGGGGCGGGCTGCCACAATATAAATAAACTTATGTGAAACGCTGGATTTATTTACAATTAACAGTAGTATCTCTATAAATAAGCACCTCACTGTTAAGTTTAAAAGATTTGAAAAATGTTTCTAAATTCTGATAGAAAGCTTGTAAGCAACTAGATGGTGGATTATACACCACAAGGATGTTAAACATTGTGCGTGAGGATAGAGCAAAATTTACACATAGACTTTCAATTGATAAAGATTCATCTAATTGGACTTCCTTGGTCTTAAAGGAGTCTTTAATGTAAACCAGAACTCCTCCTCCTTTACCAGTAACCCTGTCCTTTCTATAGCACTTATATCCAGGCACATCTATCATTGAGGTAGGGATTTTATCATGCAGCCATGTTTCACTTATGCACAAATAATCAAGATTGGAACCAAGTAGCAGAATTCTAATTTAATCACATTTTGGATACAGGCTTCTAATATTTAAATGCCCTCCCAAAATATCCTTAGGCTTTACTGTAGGATCCCAGATTATTTTTGCATGATTTACTATCTGGAAAAATAAATATTGTCTCTGCTTTAGTACTGCTTGTGACTGCAAAGTGTTTATATTGTCAGTAGTGTGCCTGCCTGTTCGCTTATACTTGGCTGTATGAGTTGTATTGACTTTACTCTTAGTGTAGTCAGTCTTGCGGTTAGGAGCGCAAAGAAGAAGAATCCGCGAAGGAAGGGTGCAACTCTGGGCCAGCTCGCTCCAGCAGTCTGCCGGGCAATCTGCGGGCGCAGCACCCCCCGCAGCCCGGTCGACTCGGCGTCCAAACACTCGTCCGCAGAGAGCGCCCACAGCCGCCCGCCGCTCCCCGCCGCCGCACTGGGACCCGGCCCCACGCCGGCAGCACGGACCGGGATTAAGCTGGATGTCTCCCGCTAACAGGACCAGGAAGGAGAGATATATTATAGCGCGCCTGCTATCTTTTTTTCCTGCTACCCAGCTCCACTTTGGTGCGTAATAAGCCTATTACGCGTGCGTTTCCAAACTTCAGGAGGGAATAGTAGATAGTAAAATGGCCATATCCAATGTTGTTCAGGTATGGCGTTTGGCACAGAAGACTGCCAGGCTCGTTTTGTGGAATGCTTAGGACAAGTGATCCAAATGTTAGCAGCAGAAGAAGCCACACCAAACAGGTGAGTAGCAGGTCTGAACGCTGACGCTGTTTGTTTGTTTAACTATTTTCCCCTGGCTTTGGATGAGAGGGATAACATGGGATAACTGCAGGCTTAAAAATCACGGAGCAGCTGGCAGTCAATGAAAGGGACGACAATTGGGAGTGATTTGTTCACGGAGGCGAATGCGTGTTTGGACAAGTTGGGACTCAAATGGGAAAAGCTGGCTGGTGGGACAATTGATGGTTGTCAGGGCTGTGCGCTAAGCTTTTCCCCAAGGAGCACGTGTAACAGAGTTTAACAAACTATTTATTTTACACATATTTAGAGTACGTGTGTGCTTCTTCTCCTTGTGTTCAACTATGGTGTGAAACCAGTAGAGGACAGGAAGTGAAGACCCTGGTATCTGGACACCTCGGCATCGACCTTAATATTTTGTTATATATTAATATTTTCGTTTTTTACCAGCTGAAAACGCCTTGCTGGGAGCGTTGGGTGTGCTTTGGAGCGTTTTTTTTGACCACGCTATGTTACATAATTATGGAGGTGATGTGCTGCAAGTAGGCTACCTAATTTAACTGTTTAGAAAATGTCACCACAAAGCAGGGTAGGCGTGACTGAAACATGAGAGCACAGTACGTGTGAGTCCATGAGATTTTGCGGGCGAGGAAACACCTCGGCGAGTAGGCACATCGTTTCGTTGAAGATCGGATGTGCTCGGTGCTCGTTGTTTGTCCCGCCCCTCCTGCACTGTGATGGGACGGCAGGGTAAAAAGTGACAGTGACGAGCGCAGCGTTTTTCCCAAAGCTGAACATGTTTCAACTCTCGCCTCGTCACGCTGCTGCCGTTTTTACCAGGGTCTGAAAAACGGCGCTCCCATTGCAATGAACTGAACTCATCGACCTGCAGTCTGACACACTTCTGGCAGAGCACTTTAAGTCAGTCAGTGAACAGACACAAGTTCAACAAGTGCAGATACAGATCCTCACTGATGATCACCTCAGCTGTCCTCAGACATTCAACAAGTAAAATGAACTGAAAAAAGCATGTATTGCTTTTTGCATAAAGTTCATAAATTTCAAAGCTTTAACATACTGCAAAACACCACAGTGTTTGTGAGATTACCTAGTTAAAAATAAAATGAAACACGGATGTCACTTTTTATCACTTCTATAGGAGTATTTTCATATTTGACCTAATTTCATATAGTTATATAAATATTTACAGAATATCCTTTTTCTTCTATATTTACTGCTTTCAATGGGAGAAAATGAATATTGAGCAAAATGAAGTTTAAGTTATCATTGGTGCGGCCCTCCAACACAGTTCAGGTTTCTCACATGGCCCCTTCTAAAAATTGCCCACCCCTGAGCTATTGGCTACTGAAAGCCTTTCAATATCTGTCTTTGTGTTTTTAAATATGCAGAAGGCTCTATATTAAAATCTTTAAAATGTTACAAGAAGAAAATTAATAAGTTGATTGAATGAATCATTAAAATGTTGCATTAAAAATTTGCAAGGGGCCCGTAAAACTCTGATGTAATGGCCCGGTGGGCACTGTATCAGCAGTGGCAATTGAAATATCCATATCAGCCGACCGCAAGTATTAGAGAAAAGCAGAGCGGGAAGCTGCAGACAAGTGTTGTTTTACTAGCACATTTTGCGAAAGAGCTAAAATGATGCTGTGAAGAGGAAATTCTGAGTTTTTTTAAATCGGCTTTAAATGTCAGAATGTTCCCTCACTGTCTTCATTCTCTGACGGGAACCAGGTTCCTCTTTCTGTGCTACTTTAAATACTCAAAAGAGAAAGCAGGGCTGAAAGCTCAGACACCTTCCATTAAGACATGGAGGACATGTTAAATATAAAGTGTTAAAAATACAACTGATAGTGATGTGTGATGTGTCAGTGACTCGCCTGCATCGTTGCATTTTTCAGCTCTCTGCTGCTGCAGCTGCTTTCCTGCACACACGTCCTGTAAAGATATAAAAATAAAGTCACTAAGTGTAAAATGTGTTTTTACACAAAGTTGCTGCCTCCTCTCCTCCGACCGGTCAGATATCAGGAGCCCATTGTTCTATCGGTGATCATTAAAATCTTTATTTACACTGCACGTATCTGGTCCTGGGTGTTTATTCTGACTGACCCACATACACCGCCCTGCTAAATACGCCCAAATACTCTCTATAACACCACATGTGGATTCATCCGCCGCTGAAAATAGTCCCCAACAAATTTAACCCACTGCGAATGTGATGAAAAAATTAAAGCTGAAATAAATCTTTCTCTCAGCTGTTATTCAGGCTCAGAATGGGCCTTTGGGCCGTACAGTAAAGGCAATGAATAACCTTATGACCGAAATATATGTATTTTCTTGTAATTTCTGACCATTTGATAAACAAAATATATCCACGACCTGGGAGGGCAAAAGGTATAAAAGTAAAGTATAATATTAGTATAATATATTTACAGGTTACACTTGATTTGGATAATTTGCCTACAGATAGTTTATTAGTTGAGATTTAGCCGTTTCACTAATAAAACCTTTCTCTGACATCAGCCTACAGCACTGTGGTGAAGGTTTGATTAGTGCTGATGTATGTGTATTCATTATAATATCAGATCATAGTAGGCTATAGTCTACTATAATTGGCCAGTTGGACAAAACAGTAGTTTCATTTTTGTGGCTTGTTTTCAGTCATTCAATTATTGTGCAAGACAAATTGGTCTACTTGGTGCTCAGTCTCTCATTTGTTTATAAGTCGTCAATAATAAAAACCGTGCATACAGAACAACGAGTTCAGCATTTCTAAAGTTTGCTGTCAACCTTTTTTTTAATGTCGTGCCTACTCCAGGCTGTGATTGGTTGGTTTGCGGAAAGTGACGCTTGATGCACACGGCTACATGAAAGGCTCCCGATCTCCCTGTGTAGATCAGCAGGCAGGCAGAACGGGAACAGGTGAGCCTCGCGTAGAGCCCAGAGAACCAGATCTGGAGGACCGGTGCCCAGTACGCCAAAGAGTACAATGTAAAAGTGACCGCACCGGTGAATACCGGCACACTTTAAGCACGAGAGGCTTTTATATTGTGAGAAATAACAGGAAGTCATCTCTCCCAGTAGCACGAGCACAGCTTCATAGCGGAGCGTTCAGGCGCAGTTAAACCAACGCAGCAGCTGGTTTATTAATCTAGCGCTGCTGCATGTGTAAAAAAACCAGCGCTGTGGATGAGAGGAGCTGACTGCTGGATATCAAGACGTCGTATTTAAGTTTATGTTCTGCTTACTCAGCAGTTGTCTGATAAATAGCTATTAAAACACATTCGGAGAGGATTTGAAATGCTTTTGTAGCAGGTCTAAAGCTACGTACAATTTTAATACAATTATGAAAATTAATATTTCCGGGAATATTAATTCATACCTCGAAACTAGGAGCACCACCTAAAGATTTGCTTGTCCGCCCAAGGCTTTAGGTCCTTGAGTTCATTAGTTATTAATGGTTCAGTTATTCTGAAATCGTAAACTTTAGTCAACCAGTCAATCTCAAATCTGAGGGCAAGTTCTCTGTACAGGGACCCTGGATTTTTAACAATACACACACAGTATCACTGTGATTAAGGTGAAATTTAACAGTGGGAGTAAATGTGGGAATATTACAGGGACAACAGTCAACATGAAAACCTGAAGGTGATGAACAGAGTATGTTAGGCTCGATGGAATTTCAGTTAATATTGTAGAGGGAGAGGATTCTACGAGGATGAGGGAACGAATGGTCGGAAATTACGTTGCAAATTTAGTTTGAATAATCTAGGGGTTTGTAGGTGAGGGCCAACTAGAGAATGCCAACGAGTCACAGAGTGTAGTTTGTTTTGCCTTACTTTTGTCACAGTTCCCTGTAGCAAAGGCTCGACTGCCGGTTGACTTGTGGATGTTGTCCTGGCCAGACACCCCTGTAGTGTCTCGAGTTGAGTTCAAACCGGTGGATTTGTTCCGGAGTCCTTTGCGGGAAAACGCTTGCAGCAACGGGCAGTCCGCCCTGGCTTGCACTCTGAGTTCGTTTGGTGTCTATAGCTCGGTGGAACACACTCCAGACTCTGTCGTTGGAGGCGTGGCTTCGTTCATTCAAGGCAAGAAGTGAACGGGCTTCCGAGTTTCTGGGTCCAAAGTTGCTCAGAACGATCGGATGATGTTAGAACAACAAAATCAAATAAGACTCATACACTCGCCGTAGGTTCGCGAGGCCACGGGAATATAGGCTATTTCATGTTGCTGAGTTTAAACAAGTCTGGGGAAAGTTTCATCCCATTGATTAAACATCAAAATCAAATCTCCCGCTAAGAAACTTGGGGATTCAAGGGCAGTAGCTTTCTCAGCCCGTCTGAAGGAAATTTTAAAGTACGAAACGAAAAAGAAAGACCGGATTTTCAAAAGTAAAGGAAGTTAAAGAAAGCGTAATTACGAGAGGATACATGAGAGTTTAGTTTCAAGAGTTTTTTTTTTTTAGAAGAGAGTGAGACAAAAGACAACAATGCCTTTTCTCTAGCTTCTTCAGGACGTGGTGACGTCAATTTGGGGAGTGGGTTTCTCTGGTGGGGGTTACCCCAAAAGTGTTAAGTTTTTAGTGGGATAAAGATATATATATATATATATATATATATATATATATAGAGCACATATTTTCATTTAATCTCTCTCTCCACAATATCAACATTTGAAAAATACTCCGAATAATGTTCTAAACATTCGGATAAAGACGAGCAAAACAAAACTAAACACTAGATGTTAAAGGTTATTATCGTTATATAAAAACGTAACAAAGCTTAACCACATGTTCTCAGTGTAAACTTGATGGTTACAGGTTTTAACTCGAGACAATTTAGATGTAAGCGTGGCAGCAAAAATTTCGTTTATTCAATTACATGGTGATGGGTACTTGGCGCTCATTGTCAGTGTAAGCCGAGTTGTAAACACTTGTGTGTTATACCTTTCCTGTCCCCTTGGTGGCGCTCGGGTTGTACGAGAAAACGGTAAGACATTCAACTTTGAGATTTACTACTTTAACTGGGAAGCTGGTTATACACACCGGCGTGTAGGAAATTGTATATGAAACATTTAACTTAAGCATTAGTTAATAGTACACAGACAGTGATTATTAGGGAACAACAGGGAGGAATTAAGACAAAACAAAAAGAGGTTAGAGAACTCTTCAGTGAGAGAGGTTACTAAGGCTCTTTGAATACACAATCCTTAAGTGATGCATGTCTGATAGAGTCTCTGCAGATCCTTACCAAACACCAGGCGATGTCTGTGGTTTTTGCATGTAAGAAAGGTCATCTCTAGGGGAGAAACCCCCCCCACACACTTGTTTCAATTCTCATCATTTGGTGCTGTTGATTTTCCTTTGGCGCTCGCTAAAACCTCGTTGGAGGGCGGGTGCCAAAAATTTCTCTATGCAGGGAAAACCCTGTTTTTCTGACATTTGATGTTCTTAGACCCTCACTGTCCTGAGTGAGGGTCACAGCTTTTGTGAAAACTGAATTTAAATGTATTAAATGTGTATCTAAACTTCTGACTTCAACTGTACTGTGTGACAAGTTATTTACTGAGCCGATTTGAACATTACATTTCATTTCAGTTGGAGGGAAACTCTCATACGGAGATGTTTTGATGTAGAAATGTTGTGCTGAATACAGTCAGCAGCAGAAACCAGACTGACGTGGACTTGGTTCTTGTAGGTGAACGTTACCTTCTGATGATGATGGATGCCGCTATGACGATGAGCACAGAGCACAGAGTGAAGAGAACCAGACGAACAATCAGCAGAGGGTCAACTGTTCATGTGGATCAGACGGACAGGAAGCTGTTAGACCTTAGACATTAAAACAAACTCTGACTGCCTGCTTCTTTATAGCAACAGCAACTGAGGCTTATGGGTATTGTAGTTTTCAGACCAAACTGACCTGACGTCTCAGAAACTAGGTTTAAATAACTCCAACTGTAACATTAACCTGAATGATCGTTACATTATCCTGGAGAGTCCTGTGAGTATAAATAAGTATTTCTACCACAGAGAAAACTGAGCAAACAAACCTTCTTCCTCCACCTGCAGGCTGTACGGCAGGGAGAGGCTGCTGAAGTTCGTCTTCAAACCACAGGTGTAGTTCCCAGAATCCTCTGTGGTCAGGGGGCCGAGCTGGAGGGCGGGGCCAGACTCTGAGAGGGTGTGGCCATCTCTGAACCAGGTGACGTTCAGTTGGTGGAAAGTACAGAGTGCAGTGCAGTACAGAGTGACGGTTTCACCTCTTCTCAGCTTTCTGTCTCCTCTGGAGCTGTTTATCTGCATTCTAGTCCCATCTGAATTAATGTAACAAAAGCAGCGAAATGAAAAGACTCAAAACTAATTAATTCAAAAGGCAGTGGCAAAAAGAAAAGTATTTCTCCATCCATCTTCATTTTCTGGAGCCACTACCCCTGCGACCCAGGTTGGGTAGTGGTTACCCCAAACCTCCCATTCCCGAGCCACATTAACCAGCTCAGGGATCCTTAGGTGTTCCCAGGCCAGTTTGAAGATAAAATCTCTTCACCTAGTCCTGGGTCTTCTCTGAGGCCTCCTTCCAGCCGGACGTACCTGGAACACCTCCCTCGGGAGGCGCCCAGGGGTTATCCTTACCAGATGTCCTAACCACCTCAACCATTCTCTGTAGGGGCCGACAGTGTCCCATCCTTACTGTACACAGCTAGGATGGTTCCCCATTAGGGGTGGGAGAAATAATCGATTCTTAGATGCATCGCGATGCGGACGTGGAAGGACGTGCCCGGACTGTATGTGGAGCGCACACAACAGAGAGATCAGTGTTCCCCTGTATTTGCCACCGCTGTGGAATGAATAACCACCCCAAAATGTCTCACAATCCTTTAACTAGCACATTGCGAGCATGGTGACACTCGATGCTCCGCAGCTCCCAGTGTATGTAAGTTTCTGTCTGGTAGTAAAAGGCCTTGCTCTCTGTTCCCCACACCAGACTTTTGGAGACAGAGCCTTCAGCTTCACAGCCCCTCCCCCACCCTCTGGTGCTCATCCCCACAGAGATCTGAAATGCTCCTTGTCTGGACACTTTCACAAATCTACTAAAAACCCAGCTGTTTACCAAGTCATCTTTTGTTGTTCTGTAACTATGCGTAAAGAATCCTTTGGTCCTGTGAAAGGCACAAAAAATATTTATGTAACGTTAGCTAAATTAATAACGAAGTAATATTAATTATCAGCTGTATGTCAGTACTAGCTAACCAAACCAGTCAAGTGCTGAGAACATCTGGTACAAGCATAGACTAAACTGGTGTGTAGCTCTGTCCTGTACACATACTGTACACTATTTGTCGGAGTAATCGATTACGTAAATACGTCGTCGCGCATTACGTGCATCGACTGCAGAACAACTGCTGTCCACAAATACGTGAAACGAACGGATCCCGCAGCACTTTGTCTAGACGGCAGCATCGCAAATCGTGTTTACTTTCTGTCGCCACACAAGCACGGCACATTATCAGCACGAGTTAAAAGTAATTTCTGCCCCGCTTCTGTCATGGTAACCTAACGTTACACTGCAAATCATGTAATGATCGGCTGTTTCATATTTTCAGTTTATTTAACGGCCACAGACAATCTGTGACTGGACAGTCTGTGAGTCCTTTCAGGTGTTCACTGATGCAGAAATACATTTTATTATCATACTGCATTACTTAATATTGAAATGAATCCATGTCGGAAACATTTAAAGTTTTAAGTAAAGTAGCCTAATTAAGGTCTGTTATTGTTATTATCAAAACACAGCAGTGACGTGGAAATTTGATTCATTTTAAGATTTGATGTTATTGTCAGTATTCTAATGTGCTTCATCAGGATGATTGAATAAAATATAGATTTATTGATTAGACATGTCTTTGATATTTATTTTGGAGAAATTGGTATGTTAAATATCACATTCTTTTAATTTTAAACAAAATGTATGTGGTGAAACACATAATCGTAGTCATACGTTAGACCTTGTTTTTACTCTAGGTGTGAGAATTTCTACTGTTTTAACTGTGCAATTTTGCTCACTTTTTGACATTCAAAGCCCTAACTTGTGTGAGTATTCTAATACCAATAATCTGGTGGAAAATTTCAATGCGATCTGCTTGTCCTTTTATTAAATACTATAGCACCCCTTAAAGTTAAGTCGAAGGCTAGTGAACAAAGCAGCCTTGGCTCAATGACAGTACCCGCAGCTTAAAAAGGGAACATAGGAAAGCAGAACGTAGGTGGAAGAAATCTGGACTCCAAGTACACTACGCTAGCATGAAGGAGCTGCTGTCACAGTGTAATAGAATGGTTAAGGAGGCCAGAACAAAATATCTTTCAGAACTCATCTCTTCGCATCACCATAACCCAAGGTTTTTATTCAGGACTGTTGAAACTACTGAAAGTAATGCTGACTGTGAGGTGTTTTTATCGTATTTTATTGAAAAGGTGGAGTTAATTCGAGCCTCTATCACACCCAGTGCCACTTCCTCAGATTTTCCACACTCACAGCATGACAGTTTTAGCAAGTTTTATCCAATTACGTTTACGGAATTTGTAGAAACGGTATCACATATGAGAGTATCTTCCAGTCCTCTTGAAGTGATACCGACAAAGTTTTTATTAAGAGTCATGGATTCTGTAGGGCCTCAATTTTTAATAGTTCCTTATCCAGCGTCCATGTCCCAGATTATTTTAAAGCTACGTGTGTGAAACTACCGTTAAAAAAACCTGGACTGGACATCTCCCTCCCCGAAAATTATAGACCAATCTCCAAGTTGCCCTTTATTGCTAAAATTTTAGAAAAAATTGTGTCCAAGCAGCTTCTACATACATTAGAAACAAATAACATCTTTGAAAAGTTTCAATTGGGCTTCAGGAAATACCATGGCACTGAAACGACATTGCTCAAAGTTACCAATGATCTTTTGATGGATGCAGATAGTGGAATGTGCTCTGTGCTTGTACTCTTAGATCTTAGTGCTGCGTTTGACACAGTTGACCATAGTATCCTCTTCGAGAGAATGAGGCGCTGGGTGGGGATATCTGGCACTGTCTTAGACTGGTTTATATCTTACTTGTCGGATAGGATCTTCTGTGCGTCTTTGAATAATTATACATCCTCATACACTACTATTAAGTATGGGGTGCCGCAGGGGTCAGTCTTGGGACCAATTTTATTTTCATTATATATGCTTCCTTTAGGGCACATTATTCTAAGACATGGCATCTCTTTCCATTTTTATGCAGATGATACACAGTTTTACCTGCCCATTAAACACATTGACCATGAAATGTGTATATGTCAACTTCATTGAAGGACTGCCTTAGTGAGTTAAAAAACTGGATGTCCGATAATTTCCTTCAATTAAACTCCGATAAAACAGAGATCCTCATCATTGGCCCCAAGCATTTGCCAAAACATATTGTGCCGTTCACAGATTGCCTTGGTTTATCAGATCAAATCAAGCCAGTGGCAAGGAATCTTGGTGTCTGGTTTGACAGTAATTTGTGTTTTGAGCAGCACACCACAAAGCTGGTGCAATAATGTTTTTATCATCTTAGAAACATTTCTAAAATCGGCTACAGTATGTCCAGAATTCAGCTGCCAGGCTTTTAACTAGAACCAAGACACGTGATCCTATCACTCCTGTTTTGGCTTTGTTACACTGGCTCCCAGTATGTTTTAGAATTGATTTTAAGATTTTACTGATTACATTTAAGGCTTTACATGGTCTCTCGCCCCTTGCTATATTGCTGACCTACTAGTACCTTATATACCAGCTCGTAACTTGAGATCCTCAAGTAAGGGGCTTTTAGTGGTCCCAGAGACCCGGCTGAAACTGAGAGGGGACAGTAAAGTAAAGTATTTACATCTTTTTAAAATTGTACGAAATAATCGTATTTCCAGCATCTGATGCTGCTTTAATTTGTAATTAAACTCACCAGTAGCAAGTGTGCACACCACACTGAGCATGGACAAAAGAAAGAAGAGCAAAGAGTTGTCAGTATTTTGGTAAAGCATGGACAATGTCAAGGCTACAAGTCCGTCTCCAGAGATCTTAAGGGGTAAGAAACGCATTGATGGTTACAGGAGGCGAGTGATTTCAGTAATTTCCCCAAAGGATTTGCTGCCTAATATTAACTTGAAGTTGTCAATAATTTTGTCCAGTCCGTTTTTGGAGTTCTGGGTGAAATGTCTCAGATTAGGCTTTTTTTCTCTGCTTTTGATGTTGATCCAGTGCAAAAGGAACAAACATGAGAATACCAAAGCATTTGTAATTGAAACGGTTATCGCCTGCCGCCTCCAAATATTTCAAATTCAATGGCTATATAAGCATGAAAGTTTTGAAAACATGTAACTTTGTGTGTCTGTGTGATAAGCGATGTTGAGAGAATTATTGGTTGCATTCAGTGATGTTCCAACACTTTGTCTGTTAACTTTGGCGCTGGTATTTTTGTTTCTCACATTTTAAGAGGAAGTGCCTCTTTTTCTCTGCCTCAGCTGTCAAGCAGTGACTACAGACTCTTATCTGTCTGTCTTTCAATAATGGCTTGCAACAAGAAATGTTACATAACAAATGAAAGTGCTTTGAGAAAGGTTTATTAGCACTTATTTATGTATTTAAATAAGATAAAACAAGCTGCTGATGATAAAATGACCTACAAAACACGAAGCAGCAGTCAGTAGCTTTAACAACTTCTTGACACAGTTTCATTTTGGCCAAGTGAAGGTGACAAAAGGAGGGAAGACTAAATCTTGACTCAGCAGGGACGATATTACAGGAGAAAAGTTGATCTACAGGAGAAACAGATCTGATAGCTGCACTCACTTGGATTCGTAGTTTAGATTTTGAATTGTCACCTTCCGCCTGAATTTAGTGTTTCCTTTTACATAAATAAAAACATTTCCAGCATAAATTGATGGAGAAAATTCACCAGAATGCAGAAGTGTTTAATGCTCCCAGACCCCCTACTGACACATGCTGCACTGTTTATGATTTCTATAAAATACTGCTAAAATATGGTCACACATCGTTCTCGTGGCACCAGTCAGGTGCATCTCCACATCCCTAATCTGAGCTCTTATGTCTCCACTAATTTTCAACACAAAGTGACGCCCTTGTGTGTCTTTCTCTTGTTGTAGTAGCTGATTGCGCATCATCTATACAACATGGAAGTTTAACACAGACCCCTCTTGCACTTGTCTGTTTCTCTGCTTGCGTATCCTCCTTACCTTTTTTAACCCTGACCGGTTTGCATGCCTGTTCATCACATTTTCAACTCTGTAATCTTTCTTGGATGAATTTTCTTTCACAGAAATTGTATTTCTGCTTTATTTCTTTACAAAAAGTTAAATAAAATAAAATAAAATGTGCTAATTATCACTCCCCCTGAGGCGAGGGCCTGTTCTGCGCTGCCTGCAGATTGAATCTTATTTTTATTTATGTTTTTTGTCATTCCCTGCGTGAGGAAGGTGAACCTGCAGCGCTCAACACTTGCTCATTACAGCTGTTGGGAATTAGGGGTTAAATAGCATCAATTATTATTCTATTATTTAATAATTAATAGAATATAACTAAAATCAAAAAATTTATACCTTATTTAGTCTCATAAAATTTACAGAACTATCAATTTGGAACTTTTGATAGTAATTAAATTAATAACTATAGGCAAAATTACCAAAACCAGACCGTATATTCACTCTTAATACGTTTGAACTTGTGTTCTTATTTTTCTGTGTGTGGGCGTTCAGTGGTAGGGTCTACATTGTGCTGGATGTGTAATATTATTGCAGTTGTTTTCTACAACATTATCATGTGATGCTCTTACCAGAGACTGTGACTCTCACTCCTGGAGGTCCAGTAAAATGTGCTCTGATGTTGTCAGCCTCCATTCTGAAGCGAAGACTTCCCTCGTCTTCCTTCTGTAAATCTGTGATCTGTAAAGTGCAGTTTCCCTTCTTGTCTCCCAGGTATTTGTAACGAGAGTGGTTGTTTTCTGAACTGCTGTTGTACACAGACGGGGCAGGGAACTCACAAAAATCATGGTTCTGGCACCAAATGACTTTGATGATCTCGATTGAAATAGTTCTTCCATCCTGAATGAAAAACCTCAGAGGTGTGAAGGTGCAGGGGAGGGTGACGGTCGATCCGTTCACAGCACAAACAGAAGCTGGATAGTTCACACCGAAACCCACAGCACCTGAAACAAAACAGCGCAGTGATGGCGGCTGAGTTCAGGAAGAAAATATGTTGATTTAAAAAATGAACTTGAACTCCAGAACTGAAACAGATAAGAAAAGAACAGTTTCTTGAAACTTCACCATCATAATTTTTCTGGATTTGATCAGGTTGATGTAAAAAAAAAAAAGAAAAAAAAGATGGTGTTTCAGAAAACATTAACGTCAAATACAATAACATGGACTTTATAATTAAGAAATAGCGCATATCCTAAAGTTCATGGCGTAAGTGCATCGAGGTTGCGGCTCCTTAATAAGTCTTAATAGGTCTTAAAATAAAATCATCAGGGCTCTTCAGTGTGAAAAATTCAGTCGCATATGCCTCTAAAAATACATACGTGCAAACCGGAAAATCATTTTAGAGCACAATGTGCGAGTAACGACTACAACCTATCGTTGTACCCCCCGGCAGATCTGACTCTCAGACACTAATCGTTCATATCCAGATGTTCAAAACACCGGTCGCTCTGTGGGCCGCATGAGCAGCTCGTTTTACAAAAACCGCGACAAAGATGCAACGTCGGCAGCTGAAGCGGTAATTTAGTCATATCACCAGTACAAATAGGTAACTTTGTGGACAAGCTAAACACACTGCTGTCCGTTACTCGTCCTTGGTGACATGAACCATTCACTTAGACAAAGTCTCTGATTCAGTCTTTTGATCTAACACGGGTTCTCAGCCCCCTGACCCGCAAATCTGACAAGGTGCTTGACTTTGTTCTAACAGTCACACCTCTACACATGTCTGACCACGATTTCATTCACTTCACGGTATGCCTACAGGAATAGCCCATTTTTCCAGCGCTGTACAGGTGCTGGTCATATAATTAGAATATCATCAAAAAGTTGATTTTATTTCAGTAATTCCATTCAAAAAGTTAAACTTGTATAATGTATACATTCATTCCACACAGACTGATATATTTCAAGTGTTCATTTCTTTTAATTTTGATGATTATAACTGACAACTAATGAAAAACCCAAAATCAGTATCTCAGAAAATTAATAATATTGTGAAAAGGAACCTGGTGCCACACTGTAATCAGCTAATTAACTCAAAACACCTGCAAAGGCCTTTAAATGGTCTCTCAGTCTAGTTCTGTAGGCTACACAATCATGGGGAAGACTGCTGACTTGACAGCTGTCCAAAAGACGACCATTGACACCTTGCACAAGGAGGGCAAGACACAAAAGGTCATTGCTAAAGAGGCTGGCTGTTCACAGAGCTCTGTGTCCAAGCACATTAATAGAGAGGCGAAGAGAAGTAAAAGATGTGGTAGAAAAAAGTGTACAAGCAATAAGGATAACCGCACCCTGGAGAGGATTGTGAAACAAAACCTATTCAAAAATGTGGGGGAGATTCACAAAGAGTGGACTGCAGCTGGAGTCAGTGCTTCAAGAACCACCACGCACAGACGTATGCAAGACATGGGTTTCAGCTGTCTCATTCCTTGTGTCAAGCCACTCTTCAACAAGACACAGCGTTGGAAGCGTCTCGCCTGGGCTAAAGACAAAAAGGACTGGACTGCTGCTGAGTGGTCCAAAGTTATGTTCTCTGATGAAAGTAAATTTTGCATTTCCTTTGGAAACCAAGGTCCCAGAGTCTGGAGGAAGAGAGGAGAGGCACAGAATCCACGTTGCTTGAAGTCCAGTGTAAAGTTTCCACAGTCAGTGATGGTTTGGGTGCCATGTCATCTGCTGGTGTTGGTCCACTGTGTTTTCTGAGGTCCAAGGTCAACGCAGCCGTCTACCTGGAAGTTTTAGAGCACTTCATGCTTCCTGCTGCTGACCAACTTTATGGGGATGCAGATTTCATTTTCCAACAGGACTTGGCACCTGCACACAGTGCCAAAGCTACCAGTACCTGGTTTAAGGACCATGGTGTCCCTGTTCTTCATTGGCCAGCAAACTGGCCTGACCTTAACCCTATAGAAAATCTATGGGGTATTGTGAAGAGGAAGATGCGATATGCCAGACCCAACAATGCAGAAGAGCTGAAGGCCACTATCAGAGCAACCTGGGCTCTCATAACACCTGAGCAGTGCCACAGACTGATGGACTCCATGCCACGCCGCATTGCTGCAGTAATTCAGGCAAAAGGAGCCCCAACTAAGTATTGAGTGCTGTACATGCTCATACTTTTCATGTTCATACTTTTCAGTTGGCCAACATTTCTAAAAATCCTTTTTTTTTGTATTGGTTTTAAGTAATATTCAAATTTTCGGAGATACTGAATTTGGGATTTTCAGTAGTTGTCAGTTTTAATCATCACAATTAAATGAAATAAACATTTGAAATATATCAGTCTGTGTGTAACGAATGAATATAATATCCAAGTTTCACTTTTTGAATGGAATTACTGAAATAAATCAACTTTTTGATGATATTCTAATTATATGACCAGCACCTGTATGTCTCACACCGCCGCAACCTCCACAACCTGTCTCCCACTTGCTTTGCCTCAGTGATAGATTCCGCTCTACCCCCCTCAACACATTTTCCTCACTCGAGGTTGATGATGCCACACAATCTCTGTGCTCTACACTGAGCTCATGCCTGGATAGCCTGTGTCCTCTATCCACCAAGCCTGCTCGCCAGAACCAGTCCCACCCGTAGTTAACATCCGAAGGCTGCGCAGCGATCTCGGAGCCGCTGAAAGAAAATGGCAAAAAACCAAAGACCATGCCCACCTTAAGGGCTACCAAATGCTCCTATCCTCATTCCCAACCAGCATCAATTCAATTTTATTTATATAACGCCAAATCACAACAACAGTTATCTCACAGTGCTTTTCATAAAAGAGCAGGTCTGGACCTCACTCTATGATGCTATTTGCAGAAGCCCAACAGGGGTGGGGGGGGGGGAGCCTACACAATATCCACACAGAGGTACAGACAGTGAGCCAGAAACACCTGCAGGAAGTGATAGGAGGAGAGAGGAGAGGGACGAGAAAGCACAAGACTACCAGAAAGGGGAGAAGTTGTGTTAGTAACATGCAATAATGGGATGAGGTTGCATACAGAGGGAGAGAAAATAGAGGAGAGAGGAGCTCAGTGCATCATGGGAAATCCCCCGGCAGTCTAGGCCTATAGCAGCATAACTAAGGGATGGTTCAGGACTAACCTGAGCCAGCCCTAACTATAAGCTTTATCAAAGAGGAAAGTCTTAAGCCTACTCTTAAATGTGGAGATGGTGTCTGCCTCCTGAACCCAAACTGGAACCTGGTTCCACAGGAGAGGAGCTTGTTAGCTGAACGCTCTGGCTCCTAGTCTACTTTTGGAGACTCTAGGAACCACAAGTAACCCTGCATTCTGGGAGCGCAGTGCTCTGGTGGGGTAGTAAGGTACTATGAGCTCTTTAAGATAAGATGGTGCCTGACCATTAAGAGCTTTGTAGGTAAGAAGAATGATTTTAAATTCTATTCTGGATTTTACTGGAAGCCAATGCAAAGAAGCTAAAACAGGAGAAATGTGATCTCTTTTCCTGGTTCCTGTCAGAACACGTGCTGCAGCATTCTGGATCAGCTGAAGAGTCTTAACGGACTTTTTCGAGCAGCCTGATAATAAGGAATTGCAGTAATCCAGCCTAGAAGTAACAAATGCATGGACTAGTTTTTCTGCATCATTTTTAGACAGGATGTTCCTGATTTTCGAAATATTACGTAGGTGAAAAAAGGCGGTCCTTGAAATTTGCCCAATGTGAGACCCAAACGACATGTCCTGATCAAAGATAACTCCAAGATTCCTCACAGTGGTGCTGGAGGCCAGGGCGATGCCATCCAGGGATACTATATCTTTAGATAATGCGTCACGGAGGTGCTTAGGCCCCAGAACAATAAATTCAGTTTTATCTGAGTTTAACATTAGAAAATTACAGGTCATCCAGGTTTTAACATCCTGAAGGCACATTTGAAGTTTAGCTAACTGATGAGTTTCATCTGGTTTGATCGATGGATATAACTGAGTATCATCTGCATAACAATGAAAGCTTATGGAATGTTTCCTGATAATATTGCCTAAAGGAAGCATATATAAAGTGAAGAGGATTGGTCCGAGGACAGATCCTTGAGGAACTCCATGACTAACTTTGGCATGCATGGAGGACTCATCGTTAACATGTACAAACTGAAATTGATCTGATAAATAGGACCTAAACCAGCTTAGAGCGGTTCCTTTAATGCCAATGAAATGTTCCAGTCTCTGCAATAGGATCTGATGGTCAATGGTATCAAATGCAGCACTAAGATCTAATAAAACCAGCACAGAGACAAGTCCTTTGTCTGATGCAATAAGGAGGTCGTTAGTAATTTTCACCAGTGCTGTCTCTGTGCTATGATGAGCTCTAAATCCTGACTGAAAATCCTCAAATCAACTATTGCTCTGTAGAAAGTCACACAGCTGTTTAGCAACTGCTTTTTCCAGAACCTTAGAGAGAAATGGAAGGTTAGATATAGGTCTATAGTTGGGTAAAACATCCAGATCAAGTTTGGGCTTTTTCAGAAGAGGTTTAATTACAGCTACTTTAAAGTACTGTGGTACATAGCCTGTTGATAAAGATAGATTGATCATATCTAGTATAGAAGTGCTGACTAAGGGTAAAACTTCTTTAAGCAGCCTAGTCGGGATGGGGTCTAAGAGGCAGGTTGATGGTTTAGATGAAGAAATTATTGAAGTTAGTTGGTAAAGATTGAGGGAAGCAAAACAGTCTAAACATATATCTGGTTCTACAGCTGTTTCTAAAAGAAACCTGGGGTTGTTCCTATTTTCCTCTATTAATGACGAGTAGTACGCTGCTCTGGCATTACGGAGGGCCTTCCTATAAGTTTTAAGACTATCTTGCCAAATTAAATGAGAATTTTCCACTTTGGTGGAACGCCAATTCCTCTCAAGTTTCCGCGATATTTGCTTTAATTTGCAAGTTTCAGTATTATACCATGGAGCTAACCGTCTTTGTTTTAGTATTTTCTTTTTTAGAGGGGCTACAGAGTCGAGTGTCATTCGCAGCGAGCCTGCAGCACTATCAACAAGATGATCGATTTGGGAGGGACTGAAATTAGTATAGGAGTCCTCCATTACTTTGTGACTTCATAATGAATATAGAGCTGATGGAATCGCATCCTTAAATTTAGCTACAGCACTATCAGACAGACATCTTGTATAGAAATTTTTGCCCAATGGCGTGTAGTTCAGCAATACAAACTCAAAAGTTATCAAACAGTGGTCGGACAAAGAGGGATTCTGTGGGAACACCACTAAATGTTCAATTTCAATACCATACACCAAAACAAGGTCGAGAGTGTGGTTAAAACAGTCAGTCGGTTCATGAACACTCTGAGAGAAGCCAATGGAATCTAACAGAGATAAACGCAGTACTAAAGCTGTCATTCTCAACGTCCACATGAATATTAAAATCCCCTACAATATTAACTTTGTCCGTTTTAAGGACTAAACTTGTCAAAACTCTGCAAATTCAGATAAGATTTCAGAGTATGGGCCAGGTGCTCGGTACACTATAACGAAGAGAATTGGTTGCAGTGATTTCCAACTTGGGTGCGAAAGAACAAGGCTTTCAAATGAGTTATAATTTAGTTTAGGTTTAGAGCTGATTAGTAGGCTAGAGTCGAAGATAGCTGCAACTCCACCTCCTCGGCCTGTGCCTCGAGGAATGTGAGTATTAATATGACTGGGAGGGGTGGATTCATTTTGGCTAACATTCTCCATCACCCAGCCAGGTTTTCGTAAGACAAAATAAATCAATATCATAATCTGATATTAGTTCATTTACTAGTACAGCTTTAGAAGAGAGAGATCTGATGTTTAAGAGTCCACATTTAACTCTCCTATTCGTTTGCACTATTGCTCTTGTGGTTTTAATTTTTATGAGGTTTTTATGCACAGCTCCTCTTCTGTTTACCTTTGATTTAAATAATTTCAATGGTCGGGGGGCAGACACCGTCACTATAGGATTTTCACTAAGTAACTCTTGAAATAGAAGGGCAGAGAAGTGTGTTAGACTGCGTCTCTGCCTCCTGGTCTCAACTCTGGGTTGTCATGGATTTGGTTCACTAATAAACTTGGCCAGATTTCTAGAAATGAGAGCTGCTCCTTCCCAAGTGGGATGGATGCCGTCTCTCCAGATCAGACCAGGTCTTCCCCAGAAAGTCTGCCAATGATCTACAAAGCCCACATCGTTTGCTGGACACCACCTCGACAACCAGCGGCGGAATGACGACATGCGGCTATACATGTCATCACTGGTCAGATTTGGCAGGGGTCCAGAGAAAACTACGGTGTCCGACATTGTTTTTGCATATGTACACACCGACTCAACATTAATCTTAGTGACCTCCGATTGGCGTAACTGGGAGTCATTACCGCCGACGTGAATAACAATCTTACTGTATTTACGTTTATCCTTAGCCAGCAGTTTCAAATAAGACTCAATGTCGCCCGCTCTGGCCCCAGGGATGCACTTAACTATGGCCGCTGTCTTCGCTAACTTCACGTTTCTCAAAATGGAGCTGCCAATGGTCAGAGTTGGTTTCTCAGCGGGTGTGTCGCTGAGTGGGGAAAATCTTTTAGAAACGTGAACAGGTTGATGATGCCCCGTGGACTTGGAATGCTTACGACTATTCCTCGTTCGGACAGTCACCCAGCCCCCCCCCTTTCCTGGCTGCTCAGGGGATGCCGGAGGACGGCTACCAGAGGCTAACTCAGGCCGTTCCACACCGACTACCGGGGACTGGCTAGCTACAGTAGCTAAAGACTGATCTACCAAGGTGCGGAGCCGGACGTCTAAATCACTGAGCCTCGCCTCCATGTCTAAAAATAAACTACACTTATTACACGTACCATTACCGCTAAAGGAGGCAGAGGAGTTA